AGAAGCCCTGGTGGCACAGTGGTTAAGTGCTCAGCTGCCAACCAAAATGTAAGTAATTCGAATCCACCAGCCACTCCTTGGAAACCCTATGGGGCAGTTCAACTCTGTCCTATAGGGTCGCTGAGTCGGAATCAACTTGATGGCAAGGGTTTGGTTTTGGTTTGGTGTATATATGTGTGTATATATATGTGTGTGTGTGTGTGTGTGTGTGTATATATATGCACACATACGTATAATAAAACAAGGAAGAAATACTCATAACAATTACAGTCCTTGTTTTTGCAACTAGTCACGTGGTCATAGCTGGTATTTAGAACTACCTTCTTCTACCACCCACCCATTCCATATTTCCTTTGCCCTCAGCAAGCATCTAAGCTGGTTGTGGTTCTTTGCCTGTTGGGGTGACCCAAACCTTCATTCCTGAAGGGTCTGGGCCATTAGTACTACTAATTTAGTAGTCATGTTGGAATTGGGTTGATGTAGTTTTCCATTTATTTTAATCACAGGGCATGGCAGTACTAAGAGGCACCCTAAGGGATCTCCTATATTCCGGACATCCTATTCTTTACCTCCATTATGTAATAGCAATCCAATTTCCTCCTGGTAATCAGGATCAATCACATAAGCCAATATGGTAACTCCTTTCTTTGCCTATTGATCGAAAGGCATGAGGAGGCCAAAATGGCCGGGTGGCACTCTTAGCTTCCAGTTCAATGGAATCAGTGATGTGTCTCCAGGTGGGAACATTCCTCCCTTTGGAACTAACAGCTCTAGACTCGCGGAGCATAGGGCCGTGGGGATAGGAAGCAAACATTTTGTGAATGGGTCACTAGGGGTAATAGTGAGTGGTGCCACTCCCATTTCCACCCCTTGATTCCTGGACCAGAGAATCCTGGCTATGGGAGAAACAGCTCCATATATTGGATGCTGGGGTTTAAATCATATACAGCCTCCTGGAGAACACTGCCCCAACCCTGCAAAGTATTGTCACCTAGCTGGCACTGTAATTGTGTCTTAATTCAGCTAGGGCAGTTCCTACTGTCCAATTTGACTTACATAAAATAGCAATCACAGAAGTCTTCAAGGATGCTAGGGCTCCCTTCACAAATTTGTTCCTCACCATTGTGGGGAAGAGTGCGTCCTCTGGGCACTCTATGGGCCGCATGGTTTCTCCTTGCTGCTTATAGTAAAATGCTAGAGAGAAGAGATGGACTTAAAAATGAACTGTGCAAAATGAAAACAGTACTTAAAGATTTGGAAAATTCTGTTATACAAACTAAGGACATGTGTCCTAGAATGTTCACCAAAGACGTGGCTACACAATCTTTTGTTAGAGATTAAGCCTGTGACTGATGGATCGACTACCACAGCAGAAAACCCATCAGCTTAGACTGAAGGGGACAGTAAAAGAATGAAAGAACGCTGTCTGCTTCTTAGAATTCTATAAGCAGGTAACAGGCCAAAGGAGCTACATCTGATGTCCTCCAAGAAAAGCAAAGGACCATCCCTGGAGCAGCTAGGAGATCAGCAGAACTGCTGGAAGGAACACAGGAAGCAGGGCCTTCTCAGTTTCAAAGGCTGGGGCCACAGCCTCCTACGTTTCCAAGAGTCACATCTTCACCAACTCGCTTCTGGGGTGTGGGGTTGCTGTTAAGGTGTGCCAGGGGAATGGGGCCATCCAAAGCTGAGGGAGCAGCGTTGCCATCCTAGTGGGCCTGGAAGGTGGAGTCAAAGCCCAGGGCCGACGGTTCTCCACCCAGAATCCATAGGGCATGGGGCAGAGCCATTGCCCAGATAGTCTCAGAGAACAGATGATGATTTTCAAGCCTTAAGAGCTAATGTAATTTATTTTGCTGGGTTTTGGACTTGGTCAGTGCCTGTTATCCCTTCTTTCTCTCCAATTTCTCCCATTTGCAGTGGAAATGTTTACCTTGTGCCTGTTCCATCACTTATTTTGGGAGCAAATAACCTATATTCTAGATCTCACACATTCCCAGATGAAGAGGGATTTGCCCCAGGATGGAATACGCCTAACGTTGCACCCATATTCGATTGAGATGATTCAGAAGAGGTGATTTGGGACTTGGAGGTGACTTCAGATTTTGGGGATGATGTGATGGGGTGAATGTGTTTTGTGTGTGGCAAGGATACGAATTTGGGGGGGGGCCAAAGGGTGGAACATTATGGATTGAATTGTGTCCCCCAAAAATATGCGTTGTAAACTTTAACCTCTATGCCTGTGGTTATTATCCTATTTGGGAAGAGGCTGTCTCTGTTATGTTAATGAGACAGAATTAGTATAGGGTCTGTCTTAGGTCAATAGGGAAAGAAGCAGAGACGGGAGAGGACTGATGCCCAGCCACATGGAGATCTCCAAGGAACCAAGAAACAAGCTGAAGAGACAAGGACCTTCTCCCACAGCCAGAAGAGACAGAAAGCCTTTCCCTAAAGCCAACACCCTGAATTTTGATCTTTAGCCTCCTAAATTGTAAGAAAATAAATTTGTTTGTTAGAGCCATCCACTTGTGGTATTTCTGTTATAGTAGCACTAGATGACTAAGACATAATGAGATTATTCTGTCACCATTTTGTCATACGTATAATTAGCCACAAGTGTTCAATCGGGTTTTCAGTTGCCTAGGACATATTCAATCAAGGGAATGGCTTTAAAACACCTCTCTATGAAACTCTCTGACTACACTATCTTGTTACTAGAATAACATTCAAAGTGGAGAAGATACTATACATGAAGTTAATTTTGCTCCTGGTGGAAGCGCTTTCTTGAGAACGATTGTGGAATGATTTGCTGAGCTACATGGCAAAATCCTCCCACCCCCATTCTATTGGAAGTTCCTTTAAAATCTTTAAAAGAGATTTAAAGAGCTGCTCTTGATGAAAAGATATAAGTAGTCCATAAATAAACAGTAATAGCAAAAAGTTCATAGAAATCCCAACAATAGTATAAATATAATTCATGCTTGCCATCTACAGTATTCTGTTTTGGTCCTATATCATAATCTGCTTTTATCCATTTCATTCTCTTTCTAATAAAAACAGACCTCAATAAAGAAAAGTTATACTTCATTAGTTGATGCACTAATTAGCACATTCACAATATAAAAATGAAAACTTACAGGTAAATTTTGGGATTATTTAGGTTAGGGTTACAGGTGATCAGAAGTTAACAGTCATCTATCTCAACAATAACTTAAAACAATTCACTAAGTTACAAAACACGATGCACTTCTAACTTGTGACTTGATGTTTTCACCATTAAGACCAATAATCTTCTATTGTCCATCATTTAGATTTATTTGTAAGAAAAAATCAAGGAAGAAAAATATTTGTTTAAAATTCAAAGGTATCCATTTTTTTTCTAGTAACAGACACAATAGAGGACTTGCTCAGAACATTTCTCTGACTCCTTTAAGAATTGCTTTAGGAGTTTTTCTTTTGGCTTTAAAGTGGGATCACTGAGATTTACGCATTCTTTGAAGCAAAACCCACTTAGAAGGCATTCTTTTGTGGTAAAAGAAGAAATCTTACAGAACAGCAAAAAGCTTAAATGTTTCATTTTACGAAATCTGAAGGCATAGGTAGTTTACATCAATTCAGACTTTATATTACATGGATGTCAAATTCCTAAGACAAATTAGGGCTTCTCTCAATAATGTAACCGTCACACTATACTTCCCATCCAGATGTACGCTGATAGGGAACACTGGGAAAGACTCTTGATGTGCAGTGACAATCCAAATGTTTATCAAACTTGTGAATTATGAGTATCCTATAACTTAGTTCCAGAATATGAAATCAATAGAAAAAATCCAACTGAGGGCCACTCAAATGTCATTTGATCATAACCAGCCTTTAAAAAAATGCCAAGGACCATTTATATGCTATTACTGCTGTCTACTTTTTATTAATACAATAAATTCTAGTTAAAGTTTCTTATGTATGTCTACAATGGCAAAGAGAAATCTCTACTCCCTGGCCTTCAGATTATCTGTCCCCTCAAAGGACTGAACATGGGCGCTTATGGAGATGAATCAGATGGCAAAAGGTGTGCCAGGAACTAATGATAACTGAAAGGACTCGCCTCGGTGGTATCTAGGCCTATCAGCATTCTTACACAGTAAGCAATCAGGATCTCTTTTAGACTAAAAAGGATGGTCAGAATTCAAGGGGACTTTCTTTAAATGGAAGTACATACATACAGTACCACTTCCATCTATTATTGTCCCTAGCTCTTCCATTATAAAACTCAAAAATGTGACATTTCTTGTGTATGCAAAGTTACCAATGCAGTTCTTAAAAAATGCAAATACATACAATCAAACACGATAGAGGCTTTGATAATGTGTATATTCCGTTCTACACAAAATAAAAAATCAGACTTGAGTACAAGCAAAAATTCAAGGTTAAATTAACCAAATTCCTCAAATTAATACACTGGGGTCCTTTTGATCTTAGCAAGCACCTTTGTCTTGATTTTTTTCCCCATTTTTTGTAGTTTACTGAAAGTGTCTTTTTGTATATAATAATCTCAATAGAAAAATCTTCACCTGCAAATACAAGGTAGAATTTTGTTCACAGCTATAGGCTGTAGCGTTGATTTCTCCAGGTATCAATGGAGGACAGAAAATATGTACAACACTGTTAATTCCAGATCCTAAGAAAACTGTCCCAAGAGCCTGTTGCCACAGCCAGGCCATCATCAGTTATTCCCAAACAGCTGACACGGTTGTCATGACCAGCAAGGACACCTGAAAAAACAAGAGTTGAGTAAAAAGTTTGTAGGGTTTTAGAATTAAACAAGAATATACGTAATCGATCTATAGAACAGTACTTAAAAACTAACAGGTTCTTCTGAGGGGGAAAACAGAGAGTCAAGACATGTATTTAAAATAGTTAAAATTTTAACAATGTGTATCAATTCGTGTTTTTAATTTGTGAAAAGTTATTTTGTAACTAAGTTATCTTACATCTAGGAAAACATGTAGAATTTTATTCTGTATCTCTAATAAGTTTATTCTATATCATAGTCCAAATTTTGCTACTAACCTATGCTATTTTCTCCAAAACAAAAATTTAAATGACGTTCAGTGAATAGTCTTTTACCAAAAGAAACACAAAAACATAAGAATGAACTTGCTTTATATCATCACTTCTTAAAATACCATCATAATTTATTTACTTTCTTCGGCTAACCATCGAACACTAGAATGACCGCAATGGATATAAATCATTGTTAATTATAACTTTCTGAAACCTTCAAACACATCTGGTTTTAGTTTATTTTGCATATTAAAGTTAAACTCACTTGATATCTGACCACCATATTGGATAAAACGAAATATTACCAACTATTTGGGAGGAAATTGAGAAATGTAAAAGGTAAAAGAAAAAGGTGTTGCTTTTAGGTGCTATCGAGTCGATTTCGACTCATAGAGACTCCACGTGACAAAGAAGAAAACAGAACATATCAGATTCTCAAGAATTTTTTCTTAAATACATTGTGTTTGACTTTGAATTACCTCTCTATATAACTAAGCATATCATTTTCATTCAGTTTCAGGAACAGAAGATCATCTTGTCTAACCGTTAATATTCTCTACAGTACTTCCCGTATGACAGTTTTTGCAAGGGGCAAATTTCCCACCGTGGGTTAAAATAACAAAAACTGAATATTGTGCCTAAATACTCCAAGTTACATTAGAAAGGAGAATTAATTAGCAATTTATGAATCAGGATTCAACTATGAGGTGGAAGTTCCAGTTGAGCGAACTTAAAACCAGCTGTAAACAAAGCAAAACTAAAATTCAAGCATATGTTAAAAACGTGGATGACAAACCCATTTTAATTTTGTCCCTTTGTTGTTGCTGTTAGGTGCCATGGAGTCGGCTCTTGCTCACAGCGACTCTATAAGACAGAGAAGAACTGCCCCAGAGGGTTTCCACGGAGCAGGTGGTAGATTTGAACTGCCGACCTTTTGGTTAGCGGCCAAGTTCCTAACAACTACACTACCAGGGCGCCCAATTTTGTCATAGATACTAATAATTGGTGCAATCCAGGCAAAACACCTAACACCTTAAAAAAGTAGTTGGCTTTGGGCAACAGACTATCTCCAAAAATCAACTTGTATAAAACTCAAGTTTTCTGCAGTCTCTTGAGAGACAGAAAATAACCTCTGGGAACGCTGATATTGCCTCCACTCCCTCAGAAACCCAATAAACTGTCCAGGGATCTAAAGACGCACAAACCCACAAGGACAGCGAGAATATGAGGGCAGGTGACATAACAAAATTTTATAAGCTGGATGGTGGTAACTGAGTTACTGGATAGTGGATCCCAAAATGTTAAATTCAAAGCCAAAGATCCAGGAAGCCAAAAAACAAAATTACACTACAGAACCCCCGCAAAGGGTCAGACACTAGCGGAACTAGGTATCTTTGGAACCAGATGAGGGCAAAGTGGGGCTAAACTAAGACTCTGCGTTAGAAAGTGATCAGAATCAGACTACACTGTACTGTGGCATCAGACTAGAGATTTGCTGGAGCAAGAAAACAGAGTCTCGACTGGGGGAAAATGGACATAGTTGGGACGGGTGAAACTGTGCTGAAATGGCGAATAAAGAAAGTTTGCTCACTAATTGTGCTCCCTATCCACCCCCTCCCCCCACCAACGCACACATTCCTTCTAAAATCAGCCTCCGAACTCTGGTGGCCAGCTTATGCACTCCAGGTAGGAAGGCAGAAGGTCCATCTCAGGGGAATATGACTAGCCCAAGGGAAAAAAGACTGTAAGATATACCAGGGGTTCCCCAATGAAAGCCTGGTCAGATCACCCTTCAGTGAGGCCTACAGTCAATACACCCCAACTATGTGCAGAAGGTTTTCAAACATTTTCAGTGCCTCACTCTTAAATGAATAAATAGCTAGGAGTCACAGGCTTTTGAAGAAACACTCCAAAAATAAAGACTGGGGACAAAGTAAACAGGAGGGAAAAAAAAAAAAAAGCAACTTGGATGCTGTAAGATGAAAACTTAAAAAAATTATCATTAATAACCTCAAAGAAACGAAAGACTACATTCATGACAAAAGAACGGGTACCATAAAAAAAAAAAATTAGAGACCCTGGAGAAACCCCGAGAGTATGGCCCCCAGACACCCTTTTAGCTCAGTGGTGAAGTCATTTCCAAGGTTCACCGTTCAGCCGGGGAGTAGACAGCCCCATAAAACCAAATGGGACTAATGAGACACAGCAGTCCAGGGACAAAGGCCAGAGGGCAGAAGGGGACAGGAGAGCTGGTGATAAGGAACCCAAGGTTGAGTAAGGATAGTGTTGATGTGTTGTGAGGTTGTTAACCATTGTCATAGGGCAACATGTGTACTAACCGTTAAATGAGAAATTATTTTATTCTATAAGCCTTCATCTAAAGTGAGAACAGCAGCACAACTGGAAGAGCGTAGTCGATGTCACTGAACTGTGCATGTAGAAATTTTTGAAATGGTGTATCTTTGGCTATGTATATTTTCACCAAAAAAAAAAAGGTCAAGAAGGGAGAGGGTTGACATGTTGTGGGGTTGTTAACCAGTATCATAAAACAATATGTGTACTACTGTTGCATGAGAAACTATTTGTTCTGTAAGCCCTCACCTGAAGTACAATAAAAAAATTTAAAAAACAATAGAGACCAAAATAGCTCTCAAAAAGATGGTAGAAAAATGACAAAGCAAAACTTAACAGAAAGGTTTAAAGAAAAGACGAGGATTTCTCCCAGAACATACAGGAAAAAAAAAAAAAAAAGAGATGATGGAGTACAGAAGAAAATATAATAAGAAAATCAAATGACCAGTCCAGGAGGTCCAACAGAAAAATAATAGGAGTTCCAGAAGAGAACAATAATGATAGAAAAAATTAGCAAAGAAATAAGCCCCCTAAATTTTCCAGCACTGCAGGGTATGAGTTTCCAGATTGAAAGGGCCCACTGAATACCCAGCATAATGAATGAAAGATCACATATCATAACTGGCAGAAAGTTTGAGGGTGAATTAGTGAGAAGTACATAGAAAACAAAAAAATAAACCAAAAAATTGATTTAACTCCAGAGAAATATATATTTAAATATATATATTTAAAATATATATTTAAAAAGTTGTATAGCAAAAGAAGTCATGTACACCTCATGGCTCAGTAGTAAATACTTTTTATGTAAACAGTGACTGTTGTTCTAAACAAAATACGGGAAAAAGGAGCCTTGTGGCGCAGTGGTTAAGAGGTTTCGAACCCACCCAGTGGCTCCGCGGGAGAAAGATGCCGCCATCTGCTTCCATAAAAGATTTACAGCCTTGGAAAACCTATGGGGCAGTTCTACTCTGCCCTATAGGGTCGCTATGAGTCAGAATTGACTGGATGGCGGTGGGTTTGGGTTTTATATGGGAAGAAAATGGAGGATGGGAAGCATGTGGCTGTGGTTGGGAGCAGGGATATTAAAGAAAGAAAGCAAACCTTCATCTTCCATGATAAGTGAACAGATAACCTAAAAGTTAAACAAACAAACAAAAATCAAGTAGCAGCAAATAAAAAACAACAAACCCACTGCTGATGAGTCAATTCTGACCCATAGCAACCCTCTAGGGCAGAGGAGAACCGCCCCATAGGGTTTCCAAGGCTGTAAACCTTTACAGAAGCAGACTTCCACATCTTTCTCCCATGAAGTGTCTGGTGGATTCAAACTGCTGACCTTTTGGTCAGCAGCCAAGTGCTTTAACCACTGCACGAGGGCTCAGCAGCAGCGATACAGGCATATTATTTAAAGATATGGAAATAAATTCCAAAGACGTCAAAAGTAGCTGCCTTTCGGGGCAGATAATACGGGCTGGGGCAGAGGACTGCTGTTTTTATAAACAAGCCATGAAGAACCATTTTATTCCTTAAACTATGTATAAGTAAAAATTTTAATTTTTTTTTATTTAAAAATTACACTGTAGGTTTTTTATTAATGACAGTCCCCGGTATGGTCTGATGCGCACTGTAGTAGTTTGGAACCTGAAGCGGAGAACTCAAAGTCTGAGGCTAAGGGAAGACCATGGGTCTGGGTCCTGTCCCATACAAGATCTCCTCCGAAAGATGATTCACAGCAGCTGTAAGGTTTCCTGTCAGGCTATAAAATGGTGATTTAAAAAAGACCATACTGAATCATATTTACTATTCATTTTTATGTCAAAAATTACCAGACAAGCAAATACAGAGCTAGATGTTACTCTTCAGGAAACGGAAGTGTAAATATAATTTATGGACTGTAACTGCCCTTGAAGGGCAACAACTATAAGGTGACGGAGAACCGCTGGGTTGCCGTTTTCCACAGCTCGAGGGTGTGTGGGAGGCCCTGTGTGCTCGAGGGTGTGTGGAATACTACGTGATGGAAACTTCTTCATGTTTCCTGACAAAACTGTGAGAAATAGAACCTAACGTGTACTTATTTACTAACCTGCACGATCTCCTTTTAGCGTGTCCCATACATTACAATTAAAGTCATCATAACCAGCTAACAGGAGGCGTCCACTTTTTGAGAAAGCTACAGAAGTGATTCCACAGATGATATTGTCATGAGAATATAATAACAACTCTTGGTCTGCACGAAGGTCAAAGAGTCGGCACGTGGCATCATCAGAGCCAGTGGCAAAGGCATATCCATTTGGAAAAAACTAGAAAGAAAATCAGCAAGCGTTTATTCCATAATTGTGTATACAGAGATCACGTAAGGCAGTGTAACAACACATTTCAGGGCAACAAAGATTTCCAAAGTTATACTCTACACCAAAGAGCCGCCTTTTTCTTCCTGACCGTACTCTCTTTGGGTTTTTCCCTTTGGCCTCAGAGAAATGGGGCTTTTTTTCTCAACTGAATATTTTGGAAATAAAACTTACTGTTCACTTGCAAATAAAAACCTATTTTCCTGAATAGAGTCTTTATTATGTGGGGGTTCACGTTATAAGGGCACACTGTTTATAAGAATCCTTGAAAGCACTTTGTTTTAAAGTCATGCTATGCAGTTCAACACTTTAAATGCACAATGAATCTTCCTTAGAAATACTACTGACTTACACTGACAGCATTAATATCTGACACATGTCCAGCGAAAGACTGTCTACACATTCCATCTCGAACATCCCATAGTTTGGAAGAAGCATCACAAGCACCAGAAACGAAAGTCCTCATGTCAGGACTTAGAGAGAGACTCATCACATCTCCAGAGTGACCGGTGAAAGTGGTGGTCTGCTGGGCGGTTTCGATGTCCCATAAAGCACTGTAATTAAAAACGAATACACAAACACTTAGTGGCTATTATCTCTGATGTTAGTTCCTACTGCCACATCCAACCCCCAAGTCACTGTTCTTCTGAAATAAACTTACCAAGTTGTATCTCCTGAACTTGTTACAATTTGGCTGTCATCTAAAAAGCGGCAGCAGGACAAGTAGCCTACAGCACAAAGAACAGCAAATTTTAGGAGATCATTGACGGAATAACTCCATTACCATATAAAATAGTGAGATGCATTTTTAAAAATGTGTATCTATGCAACAGCTCGTTGTCAGTATAATCTATAGTTCTGCTTTTAATTACTTCAAACTCTAAGCTGTCTGCAACTAAACTGTATTCAACAAACCCATCTGAGGCACTTACTGTGCCGATGACACCGTGCTCGGCACTCTGAAAGTTATAAAGTTGAGTGATTCACCGCCCCTGCCCCCTAAGACAATTACCTCGTTATCGTTAGGTGCCGTCGAGTCGATTTTGACTCACAGCGACCCTACAGGACAGAGCAGAACTGCCTCATAGGTTTCACAGGCTGTAATCTTCATGGGAGAAGATCGCCAGGTCTTTTCTCCCGCGGAGCCACTGGGTGGGTTCAAATAGTAATTTGAATAGTAATTTCGGTTAGCAGCCAGGCACTTAACCACTGCGCCACCAGGGCTACTTGACAATTACCTAGGAGGGAGATATGCTCCTGTACCAATGACTACAGTTTACAGCAGACGGTGTTAAGCACCTTGGAGAAATGTGTAAGAACGTATTGTGAGAAATTAGCAGAGCAGCACCAGTGAAGGCTGCATGGAAGAGGTGGGATCTGGATGCTCAGCATTCATCAGTGTTTCACAATATGGAGATGGCAGAAAAGGTCAGTCTAGAGGTTTTGTAAAAGCATGGTCAAGCAGCACTGCCAAGAGTTCAGAGGGGCAGAAACCAGAGTAACAATACATCCGCACTGCTAAGCAAATACTACACTATTGGACTATGGTGTGCACACTGGCAAATCAAGCAATGCACACTCGCATAATGATAAATACTTCATAACTACATTTTGTTTATTGTGGTAAAAACATATATAAAACATTTGTCATTTCAACATTTTTTAAGCGTACAATTCAGTGACATCAAATATGTTCATCATGTTGTACAAGCATCATCACTATTTCCAGTTTTTTCCATCACTCTTAACAGAAACTCAGTGTTTCCAAGTTATAAATAAATTCTTAAAACATATTTTCAATTTTGTAATTGAGTACAGATGCCAAAATCCCATAATTACATGGCAAAAGAGAATATGAAAAAAATACATTTGCTTTCTTCTTGCATTTTTCTTTATTGTTTGAATTCTTTGCAGTAAATTTAACATTTTTATAAAAATAATCCAGCTATTTTTGAAAGAAAAATAAAATTATGGTTACCACTTGCATGATTAAAAGTTAGTGTGTTAGTAAAAAGAACAGACTTAATGGTCTGATTGAGACTGGAGGGACCTTGGAAGACATGGCCCCTGGACTCTCTGTTAGCCCAAAACTAAAAACCATTCCCAAGGCCAACTCTTCGAAGATTAGACTGGTCTATGAGACATAAAACGATACTCGTGAAGAGTGTGCTTCTTAGCTCAAGTAGATACATGAGACTAAATGAGCAGCTCCTGTCCAGAGGTGAGATGAGAAGGCAGAGAGGGTCAGGAGCTTGTTGAATGGACACGGGAAATCAGGGATGGAAAAGAGGAGCGTGCTGTCACAGTACAGGGAGAGCAACTAGGGTCACATAACAATGTGTGTATAAGCTGTTACATGAGAGACTAACTTGAATTGTAAAATTTCTCTTAAAGCACAATAAATTAAAGAAAAAGAAGTTCGTGTTTTCCTGATGCATAGTAATTTCTACTCTCTCACCCAATTAAATACTCACCACCCCTTAGCCAGCTGAGCACAATCTGTAACTCGTTCTCCTTGACCAGCTTATTCTAAGAAGGGAATCCGGTTTGGCAGGACAGGATAACGTTAGTGGAGCTCACCCGTGTGACCCGGTAGCTCCCGGCTCACTCTGACGTTTCCCTCTCTGCTTTTTAAGCTGTATATAGAGCAGATATTGTCCAATCCTCCACAAGCAACGTAATTCCCAGAGGGAGCATAAGCACAGGTCATCACCCAGGAGGACCTCAGAGGAATCGCATGCATCTGTAGGACAAATGCAATGCACAAAGACTATTACTAAATAAAGATTATGAAAGCGACCATCGGTTTTTCAAACATATTTACATAGAAGCAAATGCACTGAAAGTTAAATAATGCTATGAAGGCTATGACAAATAAAAGAAAAATGGCAATGGTTTGAGAAAGTGAACAATGAAAAATAAAATACTAATCCACATTAAAGTGCCCATTATTTTTTCTGTGTCATCAAACCATCTGAATTTAAGAAGTGTTCTTTTCAAGTTTGCAAGCGGCCACCTGAGATACAACTATTGGTCTCTTCCCGTCTGGAGCAGAAGAGAATGAAGGAAACCAAAGACTCAAAGAAGAAACTAGTTCACAGGACTAACAGCCCACACGCACCACGGCCTCTTCTAGCCTGAGACCAGAAGAACTAGATGGTGTCCTGCTATCACTACCAACCGTTTTGACCAAGAACACAATAGAAGGTCTTGGATAGAATGGGAGAAAAATGTAGAATGAAACTCAAATTCCTAAAAAAGACTAGACTTACCGAACCGATAGAGACTAGAGGCACCCCCGAAACTATCATCGCCCTACCCTTTTAACTCGGAACTGAAGCCACTCCTGGAGGTCTCCTTTCAGCCAAATAATAGATTGGCTTATAAAATAAACAATATCACCTGTGAGGAATGTGCTCCCTTAAACGATCAACTATACGAGACAAACAGTCAACATTTACTCCAAAGCAAAGATGAGAACGCAAGGAGGGGCAGGGTAGCTAGATCAATGGACGCAGAACAGACAGAATGGAAACAACGCGAAGGCTGACGCACTGTGAAAACTGTAACCAATGTCAGGGAACAAGGTGAACAAAGACTGTTAAACGGGAACCTAATTTGCTATGTAAACTTTCACCTGAAAGACAATATCCAAAAAAAGGAAAAGAAGTGGAAACAGAGCATTAAAGCAGCAAAAAGACAAAAAAAAAAAAAAGTGTTCTTTTCAGAAATCGTTCTTTTAATGGAAGCAAAGACATAAAGACGTTGTAATGCTAATACAGCCATTTGAAAAATCAAGCATAATATGTTAAAGATTTTCACAAAATTCTTTGTTTTTGCAGCGGTGCTCCAAAAAGGAATTTTCTCCAATACAACACCGAACAGTTAAAAGAAAGGCAATTAATAAGTTATCAGTCAGTTAAAACAACTATTCCACAAAGAGATGCCACTACATCCTTCTGTTAACGGGGCACATGCTGGGACCCCATTCCAACAAGAGCAATAGTTTTCCACTGATCTAGCCACATCGCTTTCTGGTGCCCAGTTACCCAGCATCAATCATTTGCAGGTCAGGTGGCAAGATATAATCTGTTAGTGAAGAGCAAAGGATAAATTGTCCATATGGGGAATCGACACACTGTTTGATTACTACTGTGCTCTCATTTAATCTAAAAGGACATTTTTAAAACACAGAAAAACTTATTTTGTTTTAGGAACAAGATACAGGTTTAATGCTGACTAACATAAAAAAAAACTGTTCTGTTACAAAAATGTCTTGGCTAGCTTTAAAATTCGCATCAGGCTGAAGAAGCTATTGCTTATTTCACAAAACATTATTTTCAAAATGTTTAACACAGACAGTGATATAAGTGCACACAGAATCTAAAGGTATCTGACTTGTGGAAGTACTCCTGCAGTTTTTTCACTACCCCTCAACAACTTCAAGCCAGGGATTCCTTCCAGTGGTCATATCAGGATCCATAATCTTTCACCACCTAGAAATCTAAAATAATTCTAATGTACCTCCAACCTACTGTATCTTCTAAGCAGTCCAGAAATTGAAATCAATATCTGAATAGACCAAAAAAAGCTTTAAACTAGCCATTTGGCTTACCCACAACCAGAAATAAAAACTCAGGTCACTGTCATAGCAGGAACCAGATTTGAAAAAAATCATTTATATGTAAAAATGGTGTCTCATGCTTTCTAATAACCAAATATGAAATATGAGACTCAAGTAAAACACACTGAAAAATATTCCTGTAGCTGTCCTTGGGAATAAAAAGCAAGCACTAGGCCTAAAGAGAGGATCTAGATTAGAATAAATGGAATAAATTTCTCCCAGAAGGAAATTAAAGTCTGAAGTAGAATAAAGAATCAGCGGATGGCAAACCAAATGCAAGGTCATTGGAAAGAACGACTATGAAATTCTACCTTATTTGTTGTATAGCTGTCCCAGATAATCAATTTTCCGTCTTGGGAAGCACTGACTAGTAGCCTAGAAGAACAAACACAAAAATAATTTAATACTTCGAGGAAAAAAAGTAGTTTAAATTAGTTACACATTGCATCAATGTAGAACAGTTCAGAAAAGAAAAATACAATTTTTCTAATTAACAACTTGATACCAAAAATATTCTCCCAATGTTTAAAAAAATTGCTGCATGCCAAAAATTTTTAACATAAAATAAAATTTAGCAATGGACTATAAATGTCTCTGGTGATGAGTCAGCTTTTTCATGGTTGCAACATTTTAGTTCTCATTCAAGATTCTGGCAGATACCAGCTGACTGGCTGAGTGTTTATTGACTGACCGAAATTTAACGGACAGCAGAGTAGATATAAGGCTAACAATCGTATTTCACTCAATCTAAAAACACTGAGAGCCTGTGAATGCATTACAGGTACAATGCAGCCATATTTCCTGCTCTTGAGACCCACCTCTACCATGTGGTGGAGAGAAGATATTTACACTTATTTATAACAATTCACGTAAGTGAAACATGTCAGAGGAGTGGCATTAAAAAAAGGCTACAGGACAGTAAAAAAGAAAGCAACTGCTAGTTGTTAATCAAGTGACGCATCTTAAAAGAGAATGTGTCTCGAAAAACAGTTTTGAGAGCTAAAGAAAAGTCTACATTCTAAGAGGAGGGAAAAGTAAGATCAATGACAAGAGGTAGAAAAACACAGTGGGCGTGCTTCAGGAATTGTGAATATTCCAGTTGTACAGAGTTTGTCAGAAACAGGAAAAATAAATTTAGAAAAGCAGACGAGACTCGGATTGGAGAAGGCTTGTTTGCCATGCTAAAGAGAATTTAAGAAAATAAAGAAAAACCATTGCTGTCGAGTCGCTCCTGACTCATAGCAACCTAAGGAGTATGGTCTCAATTAAATAATTAGTACTAGAATTAGTACTGTGAATCCCTGTATTATGGAGGTCGGACTTACAATTTGTACTTGCCCTCACTTTGAAACAACTGAACCAACCCCTACTACACTTGCAACAAATTCTTCCTCACAATCACCTTCACTTGCTGCCTATGCAGCTGTGAAATCACTGAAAAGGCTTGAAGCCTCTTCTTGTACTACCCGCTCACCAAAACCACTGCCCTTGAGTCGATTCCAACTCATAGAAACCCTACAGGACAGAGTAGAACTGCCACATAGGGTTTCAAAGGCTGTAAATCTTTACAGGAGCAGACTGCCACATCTTTCTCCAGTAGAGTGGCTGATGGGTTCGAACCACCAACCTTTCGGTTAGCAACCGAGAGCTTTAACCATTGCGCCACCAGGGCTCCTTTTTCTTGCACTAAAGTAAGGCTAAAAAAGCACCGTATGCACTTGTTCTGACTTGTATATGAGGACGGCAGAACCTTAGGTAAAGAGCTGATAATCAGAATGAGAAAGAAGACAATGAGAGATGGGTTCCTTGGTGATACCTGTTTTTCTATTAAGATTTAAATCTTAAAATCTTTAAGGAAATCAAGACACTAACATTTTTTCAAGTGATTGTACTTAAAGCCCTGGTGGTGCAGTGGTTAAGGGCTACAGCTGCTGTCATGGATTGAAATGTGTCCCCCAAAAATACGTGTCAACTTGGCTGGGACATGATTCCCAGTATCGTATGACTGTGTACCATTTTATAATCTGATGTGCTCTGCTTATGTGTTGTAAACTCTATCACTAGGATGTAATAAAATAGATCAGCGGCAGTTATATTGATGAGGTCTACAAGATTAGGTAGTGTCTTACGCCAATTTTTTTAAGATATAAAAGAGAGAGGCGAGCAGAGAGACATGGGAACTTCATACCACCAAGAAAGCAGTGCCGGGAGCAGAGCGCGTCTTTTGGACCTGAGGTTCCTGCACAGAGAAGCTCCCAGACCAAGGGAAGACTGATGCATCAGAAGGACCTTCCTCCAGAGCTGACAGAGAGAGAAAGCCTTCCCCTGGAGCTGATGCCCTGAATTTGGACTTGCAGCTTACTGGACTGTGAGAGAATAAACTTCTTTGTTAAAGTCATCCACTTGTGGTGTTTCTGTTAGAGCAGCACTAGGTGACTAAGACAGCTGCTAACCAAAAGTTGGCAGTCTGAATCCACCAGCTGCTCCTTGGAAACCCTGTTGGGGCAGTTCTACCCTGTTCTATAGGATCACTATTGAGTCAGAATTGACTCGATGACAGCAATGGGTTTGGTTTTTTGGGTTTTGGTATTTTGAGTTAAAAGTTTGCTACAACAATGGGCAAATTATTTTCATCTTAAACTTCTTTAAGATAAAGAATAAAGCATTTGGCTTAGCTTTATGTCAGCTGTTAATTATTTATGTATCCCCTCATGAGAGCTTCGATGCCTGACTTATTACAGCATATCGTTTTCCAGGTTCACCCATGCTGTAGCACGCATCAGGACTTCATTTCTCTGTAAGGCTGAATAACATTCCATGGTATGAATAACGAATATTTTTGAGGCACATTTACTTTCCATATTAAAGGTTTTTAAACTTTTAAAATGTCAATCAATATTTTTAGTGAAAGCAAAGTGTTCATACTGGATACATTTTCTGCAAACATGTCATAAATATAGTTTGTTTTTAAACAAATAAAATGCAAACGATGATTCTTTGCAAAAATAATTCTTTTGATAGTTTGAAGACAACAGTTACAAACCTTGAATCATAGCCCCAGTGCATAGCATAAATTTTAGCGAGGTGACCCCTCAGCGTACGTCTTGTTCGCATCTGTATCCGACCCACGGAGTCCATATTTGATGTGATCTTTAGAAAGTAACAAAAATGTTATTCTTTACCTTAGCCATAGTTGAGAAAATAACTTAAAACTAGAAACAATTAGTAGAGGAAAAATGTAGACACAGAACAATCTTAGTCATTGAAGCTAATTTAATATAAATAATTCCAGAGTTGTTATGGGGTCAACATGTTGATCAAAAAAATAAAGCAGGTTTAAATGATCCTATTTGCCACTAGAGGTGAGAATATGTTCTACAGACTATTAAAAAAAAAAAAAAGACATACATGTAAACTTTAGTAAAATACTAGCCACAAATAAAAATTTAATAGTAGATGCTCAAAAAGTAAAACATTTATAATTTCAGTTGTCTACAAAGAAGCCAGGAGCCCAAGTGGCACGGTAGTTAAGCGCTCACACGCTAAACAAAAGGTCGACAATTTGAACCCACAAGCTGCTCCACTGGAGAAAGAGGTGGCAGTCTACTTCTGCGAAGATTACAGTCTCGGAAACCCTGTGGGGCAGTTCTACCCTGTCCTGCAGGGTTGCTGTGAGTCAGAATCAACTCAATAGCAATGAGTTTGCATTTTTGGTTTGGTAAAAGCAAGCCAGTTTTATAATTGTACAGCACATAAAATAATTTCCTTAAAAAATAGTATTAACTAAACCAGTGAAAGTCTCCTAAGAGTTTCTGTAAGAAAAACAAAGTTGAATTAGGGCACACACACAAATCTGAAACCACTTACCAAGAAGCATGTACTATATTTACAGGAATCTGCATATTTCTATCGGACTTCTTCTACAGACCCGCTAACGGTGTACTGTAAAAAAGCCCTTGTACTGAACATCTGACAAATAACGAAGTGCTTTCATATAAAAAACCCACTGCCATCCAGTCAATTCCAACTCATACCAACCCTAAAGAACTGCCCCACAGAGTTTCCAAGGAGTGGCTGGTGGATTGGAACTGCCGACCTTTAGGTGAGCAGCCGAGCTCTTAACCACTCTGCCACCAGGGCTCCATTTCATACAGTAAGCTCATTAAATTTTTAAATTAAGTACTAATAAAAAGAATCCGAATGCCATTTGTATTCAGCGTCAAGCTATTTCACGCCGATCACTAAAACAGAAAACAATACTTTACCTGAACAAGCGTCGCATCATTACATGCCTTCCTCGCATCCTGCAGAAAGATGATCACAGTACGTTTAGATGTGGAAATCTCTAGATATGATCGAAAATAATATTTCTATTGAACAAAGATTTGCAAATACACCTTCTTCATTGTACCACATAATCTTTATTTTTCAAAACAGTTTTTCCTGAGATAACACATATAAAATTCATCATGTTAACCATTTTAAAGTGAATACTTCAGTGGTTTTTAATACATTCACAATACTGTTGGAATCATCACCACTGTTTAATTCCAGAATATTTCCATCACCCCGAAAAAGAAACCCCATGTCTCCTATCCTCCCCCTCCCCTACCCGATGGCAGTCACCAGTCTACTTTCTGTCACTATAAGTTTGCCTATTCTGGACATTTCACGTAAGTGGAGTCATATAATACGTGACCTTTTGGGACTGACTTCTTTCACTTAGCATATTTTTGAGGTTCATCCATTTTTATGTCTGAATAATATTCCATTGTATGAATATACCACATTTTGTTTATCCATTAGTCTGTTGACGAACATTGTGTTAGTTCCACTTCTTGTCTATTTTGAATAATGATGCTACGAACATTCATGCACAAGTTTTGAGTGAACACGTTTTCAATTCTCTTGAGTATATATATCTAGGACTAGAATTGATACAGTGCCAGAAGATGAGCCCCCAGGTTAGAAGGCACTCAAAATACAACTGGAGAAGAGCTACCTCCTCAAAGTAGAATCAACCTTAATGATGTGGATGGAGTAAAGCTTTCAGGACCTTCCTTTGCTGATGTGGCATGACTCAAAATGAGAAGAAACAGCTACAAACATCCATTAATAATCAGAACATGGAATGTGTGAAATACGAATCTAGGAAAATTGGAAGTCGTCAAAAATGAAATGGAACACATACAGATCGATATCCTAGGCAGTAGTGACCTGACATGGACTGGTATCAGCCATTTTGAATCGGACAATCATATGGTCTACTATGCCGGGAATGACAAATTGAAGAGGAACAGCTTTGCATTCAGAGTCAAAAAGAACATTTTAAGATCTATCCTGAAGTACAACGCTGTCAGGGACAGGATAATACGAATATGCCTACAAGGAAGTCCAGTTAATACGACTGTTACTCAAATTTACGCACCAACTGCTGTCATGGTTTGAATTATGTCCCAAAAACGTGTGTCTCAGTTTGGCTGGGCCCTGATTCCTGGTGCTGTGTGATTCTCCTGTATGTTGTAAACCTGCCTCTATGATGTTAATGAGGGAGGATGGGTGGCAGTTGTGTTAGTAAGGCAAGACCTGATCTACAAGACTGGACTGTGTTCCTGAGACTATCTCTTGAGATATAAAAGACAGAAGTGAGCAGAGATACGGGGGTACCTCATACCATCAAGAAAGCAGTGCCAGGGGCAGAGCGCGTCCTTTGGACCGGGGTCCCTGCGCGGAGAAGCTCCTAGTCCGGGGGAACACCGAAGAGAAGAAGGCCAACAGAGAGAAAAAGTCTTCCCCTGGAGCTGATGCCCTGAATTTGGACTTTCAGCCTACTTTAACTGTGAGGAAATAAACTTCTCTTCATTAAAACCACCCACTTGTGGTGTTTCTGTTATAGCAGCACTAGATGACTAAGACAACTGCTAATGCCAAAGATGAAGAAACGGAAGGTGTTTACCAACTTCTGCAGTATGAAGTCACTCAAACAGAACTGACGTGATGACACCTGACGACAACAACAACCTGGAAACTTCAGGTTTACATGTTTTCAGAAACTGCCAAACTGTTTTTCACAGTGACTGGACCGTCTGATGAAGTCCCCGGGTGGTACAAACAGTTAACATGCTCGACTGTTAACTGAAAGGTTGGAGGTTTGAGTCCACCCAGAGGTGCCTCAGAAGAAAGGCCTGGTGATCTACTTCTGAAAAAGCAACCACTGAAAACCCTATAGAGCACAGTTCTACCGTGACACACGCGGGGTCTCCCTGAGTTGGACTCGACTCCATGGGACCGGTAGGTAGTAGGTGTGAAGTGGTATCTCAGTGTGGTTTTGATTTGCATTTCCCTGTTACTAATGATGCTGAGCGTTCTTTCATGTTCTGACTGACCATCTTCCTTGGAGAAATGTCTATTTAAATCCTTTGCCCACGTTTTAGCAGGTCTGTCTTCTTGTTGTTGAGCTGTAAGAGTTCTTTATATATTCTGGATGCTACCTCCTTTTTGGACGTACGATTTGCAAACGTTCCCTTCCCTTCTGCGGAGGCTGTCTTTTCACTTTGTCAGTGCCCTTCAACGCACGAGTTCTCGGTTCTGAGGAAGGCACATCTGCCTGTCTCTTCTTTTGTTCTTGTGCTTTTGGTGTCACATTTAACCACTGCCTAACTGAAGGTCAGGAAGACGTACACCTAAGTTTACTTCTAAGCATTTTATAGTTTTAGTTCTCACATTTAGGTCTTTGATACATTTTAAGTTAATTTTTGTAAATTTTGCATGAGGTAGGGGTCTAAATTTACTCTTTTGAATGTGGATATCCAATTGTCCCAACCCCATTCGATGAAGAGACTATTCTTTCCCCAGTGAATGGTCTGGGCACCTGTGTGGAAAATTGATCATTGGTATGTAGGCCACTTCTGGGCTCCCAATTCTATTCCATTGTGTACATATACTTCTATAATTTTAAAAAATTTTTTAATTGCATCCTTGAGTAAAATGAGCTAGGCTGGCTTAGTAAGCCCCTGGTATTCAGAGTTATATTTGTTACTAAGCTTCAGCAGAAAACAAGAATTTTGAATTCCCTTTTATTTGCTCTGGCATCTGAAAGTTGAGCTATAGGAAAGGTACTTATAGTATATTTCAAGTTATTTCAGAAATATTTTAAAAAGGAAAATAACTTCTTCAAAATGCTATTAAAACAAAACCTTTTACTTACAATACAAGAATAAGATATGATTATCTCAGGAAAATAATTTTTATATAACAGGCAACAATTTATACTGAGTGACATCTATATTTTTATATTAATAACAAATTCCCTATCTGGATGCAGGTATGTGTGCCTAAACATTTTAGGTAGCCTTCCTAAGAGACCTCAAAGAGAAAGAGGAAGAAAAAAAATTTATACAAACTAAAGGGAATTACCGAAAGGAAGACAGTGGAATAGAAATGAATATAAAAAAATAAGGCAAGCAAAAACATACTTAGAAAGCAATAAAATGTTTTAAACCAAATTTAACAGTTAGTAACAAATTTAGAAGATTCTATATACAGAAAAATCAGCAGTATAATTAATTCTGCCTGTTAGACTTAAAACCATTTTTTTCTCAAAGGTTAGGTTGGTATCCCCTTCGACTTTATTTCTCCCTACAGTGCCTAGCATACTCCTGAGCAAACAGAAGGCACACAACATTTGTTGAATAAACGTCCCAAGGGAAAAACGGCCTGCCTCAGCTTGCAGCAAAGACTCGACCAAAGACTTAATCTTTTCGGCTGCCATTTTAACCTATTTATAAACACTTAGAATATTTCTCTCTAAGGGTGTTCACAAGTAGTTGCACAAACGTATGATCTGATTCTCATTCTTAGCCAAATTGTGGGTTTTAAAACCTCCTCTGGCAAGGAATAATCGTGCTCCCTTTCCTAAATGAAAAGAATTTCCAGAAATGACAGTCAGGGCTGAACCATGTTCCAAACCTGCTGGAATTGAAGACTAATTTCTAAAAAAAAAGCTCTTTGACCTCAAGCTTTGGGAAAATGAACTAACGCTGCTCAAGTCATCACTCCTGACGTGGCTATTTGACGAAAATCTGCTGCTCACTTACTGTGTGTCCAGCACTATTTCAGACGCCATGAATACAAACAAAAGAACCCAACCAAACACGGAACCGGACGCCGTCAAGTCGATTCCGACTCGTGGCGACCCCCTCGGGTGTCAGGGTAGAACTGGGCTCCACAGAGATTTCAATGGCTAGTTTCTCAGTAGTAGATCACCAGGCCTTTCTTTCAAGGCACCTGTGGGTGGACTCGAACCTCCAACCTTTCAATATAGCCGAGCACATTAACTACTTGTACCACCTGGAGAGCACACACTCGTACCGCAATTAAAGAACTGCAAATGAAATTACTGAACTACAGTGCACATTGGTATTCAAAATTAAAACATCATGCTGAACACAAGATTTCTACAAATATCTCTGCAGCGGTCACTTGCAAATTTAATGATGAAAGACTATTCACATTGGGAACTTACTTTTATGAGCACGATGATCCATTATAAAACTGAATATAAGAATTATATAATTAATGTAAGATAATTACATAATATTCATAATTCTTATATTAATAATATAAGAATTATTCCCAACTAACAGCTGAATTCCATACTGTCTGCTACAACATGAAATACAAGATCTGATATTGACATCTTTGTGCAAAAGAACAATGACAGATTTCTCATTCCAAATCAAAGCGTTAACAGTTACAAAAGAATTTTAAAAAGAAAACAAAACCTTTACTTTTTCTCTTTGTGTCTTTTTTAATTTAAAATGTATCATGTAGTGCATCAAAGAACATGCATTTATAGTATGCCATGTGTTTACACTACATAATTTGGAAGGAAGGAAGGAATTAGGGAAAGAAGGAAGAGTCTTTAAATACAGTGCGACATGATTAACCGAAGAAGGAAAGTACATGGGATTCGAAATCATGGGAGGGAGCACATGACATTGTGCTGAGGATGCTGGTGAGATACGAGGGCGGTTAAGACATGGGCTTTTCCATCCAGTACAAGTATCGAGGCAAATGTGCATAAGAACTATAACACACGGCAGGCTGTGACAAGTCCTGTCACAGAACAAAATGCCGTACAAATTAGGATCTGCCACTTACTGGTGAGGGACTAAGTCCTTTACATGTTCTTTCATTTAATCCTCTCCATAAACCTATACAGTGTGCATTGGTGTTTTCCTTTTGCAATTAAGATACTGAGACTCAAAAAAGTTAAGAAGCTTGCCGATAGCCACAAAGCAATTAAAAGGTGGAGCCCATGTACCATGCCATGCTGCCTTCCGATAAAAGAAACAGAGTAAATCCAAGTGAGCGAGTGTATCTGGAAGTGTTTTTAGAGGAAAACCGATACTTGATGGATAGAGTTCCAAGGAGTAAAAATGGAGCAGAGGTAGTACAATTCCAGGCAAAGGGAACAATTTGAAAAAGGCAATGAGGTGGGAAGAGCAAGGCAATGGCAAGAGACTGTAAGGCCACAGGAGGGGCTGCAGGGAAGATGCTGGTAGGCACGGCCTGAAGGCAGTGCAGCGCTGGTGACAGAGCCCAGGCTTTGGGATCAAAACGTCCTGGTCTGAATCCTGGATCGACTGGTTTACTAGTTACGTTACCCTGGCAAGTTATTTAACCTCACTGAGCCTCAGTTTCCTCAGCCATAAAATGAAGTCACACCACCTACCTCACAGGGTTGCTATGAGGCCTAAACGAGATGGGTATGTGACCACATACTTGGCCAATCGGCACGTGGAGCAAGTGGCACAAAGGAGTGAAGATGGTGGAGCACTGCTTCTGCTTGCGGCAGCAACATCTAACACACAGAGTAGCCTGTGAAGCCTCCTCTGATCATCCCAGGCAAAATAAATCCCTCCTCTGTTTTGGCAGCTTTGTTCGGACACCTCAGACTTCTTATTCATATCTAAATCGTTGCTGTTGTGTGCTGTCAAGCTGATTCCGACTCATAGTGACCTGACAGGACAGAGGAGAACTGCCCCGTAGGGCTCCCTCGGCTGCAATCATTACAGGAGCAGATGGCCAGGTCTTGTCTCCTGTGGACTATGGACCTATCTAGTCAGCATCCAAGCCCTTAACCACTGTGCCACCAGGGCTCCTTTCTCTAAATCATTAATCTCCTTGAATTCATGGCAGCAAGGCTGCTTATGCTTTCTATCTTCTTTGTATCAACATTTTTCCGGCAAGTGTTCTTCATCTGTCCCTTGTTTTCCCTGCTCCTTTCCTCTTTTTCTTGTAATATCTTTGTACGGCTCTTATGCTTATTCCTTTCTGATTGTTCCTCACTCATAAATCACATGACGTCTTCTGAAATAGCTATTTACAAAAGGTTCATACTGGGGAGGGCCACAGCAGTGTTCCAAGTTATCAGGGATTCTCCCAGCTTCGTGTTGAAGTCCTTCATTTACATTTGCAAGTTGTTTCAGCCTTTACTTTTCTCAAGCCAGAAGAAAAAGGCAGCTTCTAGGCTATGCACAAGTCTGTCTCCTCTGCCCTGCTCACCAAGAGAAGCTTCCTGAAAGATGACATGTCTTTATCCTTTCATTTTTAGCTCTGCCTTCCTTGATATGCCTCGGTGCCAAAAAGTCCACGGAGATCTGTTTCCATTGCTCCAAACAAGTGACTGTTGGTGGTGCCCCTCAGGAACTGCCACCCACTTGGTCTGAGATGTCCACCTGCAGACATCTTCTCCAGTCTTCCCACACCCGGCTGCTCCACTGCATTTGGCAACGCTTCCTCATCCTACTACGGCTGGAAGCTCTGTAACTATTTTAGTTTTGTTGAGGATGCGGCTTGTGTTTATTTCTCATGCTCCTTACTGTTTTGAGTGGATTTGCAAGAGGAAAATTTATTAGACATGTCTTCACTCTGTCGTCTTAAAACTAAAAGTACTACTAATAATTTTTAATGTTTTTCTGCAATCTAATGTTGTTTTGGAGTACCCTGGGTGGTGCAAACAGTTAACACACTCAGCTGCTAACCGAAAGGCTGAAGGTTCTAGTCTACCCAGAGGTACCTCGGAAGAAAGGCCTGGCTATCTACTTCTGAAATATCAGCCATTGAAAACCCTATGGAGCACAGTTCTTCTCTGACATACATGGGATTGCCAAGAGTTGGAGCCAACTCAACAGCAACTGTTATTTTTTTTTTTAGAGATTAATAATCTAGTATAGTATAATGTGATACTATCTACTTCATTACATTGCACCAAAAATCAAACTATGATTCCAGTTGTGTGAATATGAAGGGAATTAGGTTTGATTTACAGCAGGCATGTATATATATATATATATATATATATATATATAATATTATATAATGTATTTATATATAATACTAAGCATAAACATAATAAACTCATTGCCATGGAGTCGATTCTGACACATAAAGACCCTATAGGACAGAACAGAACTGCCCCATAGGGTTTTCAAGGAGCGGCTGGTGGATTTGAACTGCCGACCTTTGGTTAGCAGCCAAATGCTTAAACCACTGCGCCACGAGGGCTCCAATAAATATTATATACACACACACACACAATATTAACTTCTCAGGGATGCAGAAGTCATTAGTCTACATAAATAATTGTTAGGAAAAAATGTGAAGAGTTTATTTCCAGCCTCATAAATGATTTAATATATGTAGACTGGTAAACTAATGAGCAATTTTGTACATTGCTGTAGGGTAAAGAACCTAGTTATGCCCTAAGTAAGGTGGTTTCTGCCCCTGCTCCAGAGAAATAACCCTTTAAGTAATTGCGGTGCCTTGGTCTGGGACTTCCAGGCCACATCTGAGAATTTGTGCTGGCGAATGAAGGCTGGCCAGAGCAGAAAAGACTCACCTGGGAGGCCGATATCAACTAGCCTTAAGAGGCAGGACTTAGCCTATCATGCAGGAATGGCTGATAATAGCCCAGAGAGCTTCCTGGTTGATGAGAACATCTGCTCTCAGGAGGGCAGCACATCTCTTGAGACACGGAAGCTTTGAGTTGGGAACCCTCCCAGGCCTCACCCTATGCATCTCTTTGTTTTTATCCTTTTTTGGCTAAAATAAATCTGTAATCATAAGTACGCTATATTCCTCATAAATTCCGTGAGTCTTTCCAGTGAATTATCAAACCTAGCAGTGCAGTAGGAGCCAGCAGGTCCGAAAGTAAGGGTGTCTTGTGGTCTCACAAGCTTGTGGTTAACATTCTGAAGGGGTAGTGCAAAACCAGACCCGAATTTGTGGCCAGCAGGTCAGAAAGGTGGGGTGTTATGGGGACTCCACAAACTTGCAAATGGTGTCTGCCTATCGGGCTATCTGAAGGAGGTGTCCTTCTAACTTGTGAGCTCCGGGTGGCTAGAGTCAGAGATAGTGAGTGCCAGGGAGTGGCTGGCAATGAGGGTGGAGAAGTGGAAATGTGAGGACCGGATCAACTTACACATTCTGGAGATTGGATTCATGCTGATGCTTATCATGTAACTGCGGATACTAAACAGAACTGCTAAAATTTCAAAACAGCTCTTACCTGGATCTGATTTCGCAGCTGTTCTGCTTCCTGCCTCAACTGCTCCAGTTCACTCATCCTTTGAAGTTGTTTATCTCAGGAATGAACACGCGAGAGCAACTATTAACAAAGAGAGAAATAAAGATTCAATTCCCATTTACATATCAATCTACTTTAAAGATTACTGACATATAAATTCTTTTTGTTCCTTCTGAAACTCAAATAAGATAGCAGTTACTACTGGAACTTAAAGTTGCTTAGTAAACAAACAGAAAAGTAGAGCGATTAGGATAACGAAACCCATAATACCCATCACGTAGGTTTACCAACTGTTAATATTTTTCCGTACCTTTTTCTGTTCTTGCTGAAATATTTTGAAGTCAATTACAGAATTAAGACATTTTACCCCTAAATATTTCAGTATATTGCTGTTGTTAGGTGCTGTTGAGTCAGCTCTGACTCATAGTGACCCCGTGGACAACAGAACGAAACCCTGCCCGGTCCTGCGCCACCCTCACAATCATTGCTATGTTTGAGCCCACTGTTGCAGCCACTGTGTCAATTCATCTCATTGAGGGTCTTCCCCTGTTCTGCTGACTTCTATAAAAATATCGGGTGATTTTTTTTACAAAACCCTAATACCATTATTGTACCTACAAAAATTAATAATAATTCTTTAACATCTAATACCCAGTCCATTTTGAAATTTCCCTAACTGTTCTGCCAATTTTTTACGTCTGACTGCGTATTGCATTTGGCTACGTCTCTTAAATTTCTCCATCTAGAACTGCCCACCTCCTGCTAGAACTACCCACCCTCCTGCTTTCTTTTCTTCCCTATGATATCAGCTCAGTGTAGAGACTGAGCCATTTGTCCTGTAGAATGTCCCACATTCTGTTTACTTCTTTGTGGTAATGTTTAGCTGGTTTCCCTGTGCCCTATACTACCTGTAAACTTGAAGGAAGTTAGATCCACAGGCTAGATTATACTCAGGTTCAATATGTTTGGCAAGAATACTTGTAGCTAATCCTGTGGACTTCATACTGCAGTATATCAGAATGAACTGAATGTTTGGTTATTCCACTACTGCTGATGTTGTGCTGTTTGCCATCGAGTCGATTCTGACTCATAACAACCCCGTATGACAGAGTAAAACTGCCCCATAGTGTTTCCTAGGCTGTAATCTTTATGGGAACAGATTGCCAGGTCTTTTCTCCCACAGAGTCACTGATGGGTTTGCACTGCCAACCTTTTGTGACTTAAGCGCTTAAGTAGCTGAGCGCTTAACCTTTGTGCCACTAGGGCCTATTAGTGAAGTTAAGAATGAACAGTGTGTTGTTAACAGCCTAATCTGTCCATGGAAAAGTTATATATCCCCCACTTTCAGGTAGCAAACAATCTGTGGGGAATCTTTTACTTCCTTTTTTTTTTTAATTATATTTATTCGATTTATTTGTTGCTGAGAAGATACACAGCAAAACATACACCAATTCAACCGTTTCTACATATACAATTCAGTGACATTAATTACATTCTTCAAGTTGTGCAACCATTCTCTCTCTCCTTTTCTGAGCTGTTCCTCCCCCGTTAACATAAACTCACCGCCCCTTAAGGTTCCTATGTAATCTTTCAAGTTGCTCTTGTCAATTTGATCCCACATAAACAAAAAAAAAAAAAATGTATGTTGAGCAAATAATCTGAGAAGCTGGACTATATGAAGAAGAATGGGGCATCAGGATTGGAGGAAGACTCATTAACAACCTGTGTTGCAGATGACACAGTCTTGCTTGCTGACAGTGAAGAGGACTTGAAGCACTTATTGATGAAGATCAAAGATCATAGCCTTCAGTATGGATTATACCTCAACATAAAGAAAACAAAAATCCTCACAACTGGACCAACAAACAACATCAGGATAAACGGAGAAAAGATTGAAGTTGTCAAGGATTTCATTTTACTTGGATCCACAATCAACACCCGTGGAAGCAGCACTGAGCAAATCTGCTGCAAAAGACCTTTTAAAGTGTTGAAAAGCAAAGATGTCACCTTGAAGACTCAGGTGCGCCTGACCCAAGTCATGATATTTTCAATGACATCATATGCATGCGAAAGCTGGACAATGAATAAGGAAGACTGAAGAAGAATTGATGCGTTTGAATTGTGGTGTTGGCAGAGAATACTGAATATACTATAGACTGCCAAAAGAATGAACAAATCTGTCTTGGAAGAAGTACAACCAGAATGCTCCTTAGAAGCAAGGATTGCGAGACTATATCTCGCATACTTTGGACATGCTATCAGGAGGGATCAGTCCCTGGAGAAGGACATCATGCTTGGTCAGGGTCAGCAAAAGAGAGGAAGACCCTCAACAAGATGGACTGACACAGTGGCTGCAACAATGGGCTCAAGCATAATAACGATCATGAGCATGGCGCAGGACCAGGCAGTGTTTCGTTCTGTAGTACACAGGGTCGCTATGAGTCAGAATCAACTGGACGGCACCTAACAACAACAAACCAAAAAAAAAAAAAACCCACTGCTGTCGAGTTGATTCCAACTCATAAAGAGCATAATGCTCAAGGCAGATATCTGTTACTAGTTAAACCAATTTCAGGGGATATTTTTGGTTTAAGGTTTAAAGTTTATCTCAGGGCAATAGTTTCAGGAGTTCATCCAGTCTCCATGGCTCCAGAAAGTCTGGAGACCATGAGAATTTGAAAGTCTGTTCTGCATTTTCCCCCTTTTGATAGGATTCTTCTACAGAGCCTTTGATCAAAATGTGCAGTAATGGTAAGCTGGGCACCATCCAGTTCTTTTGGTTTCATGGCAAAGGAGGCAGGGGATCTTTCATTTTCAACTGGATTCTTTCCATCAGTGGCTAAACATGCCCAAGTGTCTCCCTTTAATAATAAAAATAAAGATAAATTCCTTGACTGTATCTTTGACCACCAATTAGAGTCCTTTTTTCTTTTCTTCCCTTTCTTAAGAAATTTTAAAGAGAGTTGCCTATACCTGACCCCATTACCTCACATGGAATTCTGAATTCTCAAATCTCATTCACGACCAACAGATGTTCACTAAATTTAAGCAGGCATGATGGAAAGGGAGAGGGCATTATAAGACAAAGGGCTGAGAAACGTGCCTAAACTGCCAAATCCGAACGCTGACGATGCCTGTGCCACATAACCACAGATGTCCTCTGGATGCGTGAGAAGAAACGTCAAAGCTGTCTTTCTCTCCTTTCCTTTCTGCTGCTAAAAAGAGGAGCTAACTTTTCACTCCATTTAAAAAAAAAGAAAACTTTTTAGTGTTGTCACTTAGCAGAGAGAACATTTTGGTTACTCAGACTTTCTGTGTTGATCTTTTCCTCTCACCCAACAATTGCTGAATTACTGAGCATAACAATTAAGAGTGCCTAGCACAGGCCTCTCTGCTGAATCTGACCGATTATCCTCCTTTCTGATTTAAACTCCCTCCTGTGGCTTTCATGACACCACACCTGCCTGTCTTCCCTGGTACTTCATTGACTGTTCCTTCTCTCTCTCTCTCTGACTGTTCTTCTCTCTCTCTCTCACTGACTGTTCCTTCTCTCTCTCATTGACTGTTCCTTCTCTC